TTAGGGTTCAGGGTTTAGGGTTCAGGGTTTAGGATTCAGGGTTTAGGGTTCAGGGTTTAGGGTTCAGGGTTCAGGGTTTAGAGTTTCAGGGTTCAGGGTTTAGGGTTTCAGGGTTCAGGGTTTCAGGGTCCAGGGTTTAGGGTTTCAGGGTTTATGGTTCAGGGTTCAGAGTTTTTGTTTGAGCACCTTTTTGCGCCTTACCAATCCAGCTCAGCAGTTGCACTCCGTCCAGCCCTTCAGCACGTAGTCGACGAAAGAGATTCGTTTAGGTTTTAAGGTTTCAGGGTTTCGGGTTTATGTTTAGGCGGCTCTGTACTTGAGGATGTGACTAAGTTGGGATCCACAGGTCGGGACGGCCAGTTCCTGAATCGAAATGTCCACGAACCCGTAATAGCACCCACTTTCGCCAAGACACCGACGCACAGGGACTGATTAGACAAGACAGTGTTCATGCGACTTTGGCAAAACCCGCCTTCCATCGAGCTTGCCGCGCCCACGGCAGAGTCCCACCTTGCTTTTCTGAAAGAAACGGGCGAAAACTGAGCTACATCTGCAAACTGCAAGTCGAAAACCGGAGCATATTCTACACATAGACCCTCGCATGCATGACTCTCTCTAGTGCTGCTGAATGAGCGTGTCATTCAGTTTCGGGCCCAAACAACAACAGCATAGTTTGCGCACCCTCCACGACAGCACTTAGGAGTTTGAGGGGACAGGGGAAATCATACAGCGAGCAGCCAAGGGGCTCTGCGCTATACTTGCCGGGGAAAGAAACGATGCAGTCGCGAGCTCCAAGGTTGATCTTCCCCGGAAAGGCAATCCTTCTCACATGGGTACGGTATGTTCTTACTACAGCCGAGGTCCATGAACTTCAAACCTTAGGATACAAGGGCAAGAAAAGCGGCATGCTCAATTCTGCAAGCGGATCCGCTGTGAAGCTGTGCTGAAGCCGGACGAACTGGCGAGCTCGCGGAAGGCGCTTAGAGGATCTTCCCACTGTCGTGGGCCGATCAAGCCACAAAACAACAGTGCATTGAGCACCTGGAACGCCACGTCCACCAATACAATTGCATTGAACAATGCTTTCGAGAGTTTTTCTAGCACATGCCCATCCGGACGGAACCAGCCGTAGCTCGCCAGGACGCCGGAGAGTCCAATCAGGCTCAAGGTCGGCCCCGCAAGTACAAGGACGGCATTTGCGCACAAGCACCATGCGATGCATCCTGTACTTCCGTCATCTGCGCGAATCCGGGCCCTGTAAGCTGAAAACATCAGCCCGACAAACTGCGCGAGCAATATCACAAGGCCGAGGGGCAAGGCCAGCAAAGCCACTTCCAAACGAAAGCAGCAGACCGCTGTGCTGAATGCGAAGCATCTTAGAGCTGCCCGCAGCGCGCAACCTATCCAATCCCACCCCAAAGCTCGCAACTTGAGATTGGTCATGTGCATTTGTATTACATTGGATGCCAGCTCGACGGGAACGTAGAAAAACACGCCGATACCTTGAAGGAGGACCCATGAATCACAGCCAAAGAAAGAGAGTAAAAGAACCAAGCGCCAGCTCCACAGATGCAGCGACGATGAGTTCACCAGACGGCCGTTGCCGAGAAACATGTACACACCAAATCCTGTAACCAGCGGCCTCCCCATCGCGTCGGGTGCATACGCAGCATCAAAACCCACAACAGAGATGTTGGCCGCAATGCGCGCCAGGGTGTAGGTGGCGAGCACACCGAATTTTGTGACCCTCTTGGCCGTGATGCAGGCCCAACTCTGCTCCCCAACAGCATATTCGTGCCCGGGCTCCTACGGTTTAGGGTTTAGGGTTTAGGGTTTAGGGTTTAGGGTTCATACTGTGCCATACTGTGCCGGGCTTCATCGCACTCAGCTCAAAACGCGGAAAGCTTTTTGCAAAGAGCCGAGACACCGGATCCGGCTCCGGCGCGGCCCCCCTGAGGGAGAGCTCAACCTCTCCAGGCTCAACCAGATGACGTGGGCCAGACCTGCTCGAAATGAGGCCGACAGCTTCCGTTTCTTTTGCTTTAGGATTGAGTCGTTGCTTCGGCTTCTTGCAAGAGATGTTGGATGTCGCCACCTCTTCGCGATGTCTGAAGTACGAGATGAGAGGAGTTAGCAGCAGAGACTGCTGGAAACCCAAGACTTCAAATCGCCGGAGCCCTGTAGCGGCTACAGGGCTCAGGGTCGAGGGCTTGAGGACCGTGGAAACCTTCCAAAGTGCTATGGTCCAAGCCTACCGGGCTTCTGAATTCCCTCAGTTCGTACATAACAACCCTAATTGTGAATTGTGAACAACTCCCTGAAGCGGATGCGCTATCCGATAGTGAACACATTCGACCAGCCTCAAAGGGCCTCCTGCAAGACGTGGCATCGAGGCATTGAGGCTGCTTAGGGCCATTGGGACAATGATGCCAAGGGATTACTCTACATGCAGGACTGGAAGCCTCTGTAACTAGGCTGCAGGACTCTAAAAGGCAGGAAGTAGGATGTGGCTGCTTGGGTGTTGGAGAGCAGATCGGTTGCTCAGCACTTTGGCTTGAGCCTTTCTCTGCTCTGTGGCTGCAGACGAGCCTTCCTGGTTCAATGCGTGCGAGCTTGAGCCCGCGTTTTGGGATGAAAGCTGCAAGGAGCCTGGACCGGGAACGGTAATTCCACAAACGTATCGGACAACCCTGATACCGCTGCCACACGGTGTGGGTCTGGGGTCCGAAGGTTGGCAAAAACACGCGCGACAGTCTAGAATTGTAGGGCCTTGGCAAACAGAATGTTGAAACATCTTCATACTGGAATGACGAAACTGAGCACGAAGATCTGCAATGACATGAAGTCCCACCCATAGACATTCACACAATCGTACAAGCTCGCACTATTTTGTCGGCGCCGTGCAAATACCAATACGATCGGTAACGATACTCAAATCACCTCAAATCCTCCCAAACAAACTGCACTTAGACTACCCGGATGTATATATTATCCACTCCTCGCTACATATGCAGGTGCATACTTTCGATGGATATGCACAACAAAACAACTAACCCTAGATCCTAAACTCTGTGTCTTGACTCCGCAGGACGGGCCGATGGATGCTGATACCCTTCCCAGCCCTACTCCTGCTGTGCCATACAACAATCAAGCTCAAAATATACACAAAAACCCTAAAACCCTACACTCAGAAACCCTTCCTGTGGAGCCTTGTAGTGTATACCCTCACCAAAGCCCGGGTATCAACCCTGGATTCTCCTTTTCGTATTCGGCGTACACAAGGGGCATGGAAAATACTGGATGCGAGTTACACCCCTGAGATGCCCTGATCTCCGAAGCTGTACAGCTGCCTCTGCTGGATATGGGCGTTCTTGCACATTCTGGTTACCCTATGGGCCCTTCTGTGGGGGTCTTTATGATCAAGGGTCCCTACAATAAGGATCGAAGTACCAGAGGTCTATCTCAATGTCCTTTTTTTGAAAGCCCCATATAAGGCCCATATATCTAGGCAGAAACCGACTGACTCTGTTCGACGGTTGCCTTTGGCACTCTACAGAGATATCTTTTTCCTGAGCGCTTCGCCCAGAAGCTCTGTAGCGGAGTTGAAGTTGAACGTGCCACTTCACAGAGACTCGTATGTTTGTATGTATGTATGTATGTATGTATGTATGTATGTATGTATATGCCGAAGGGCTGCGACACCAGACCAGACCGACATGAAATTGGTCCAAAAGCCTGAAAATAGATCCTTCGATTTCGCACGTTGAAACAGCTGTGCGGGGTGTTGCTCGAGCTCTAAATCCTGGTTGAGGCTCGAAGTTGCAAGAGGCCTGCCGAATTCTGAGACAACACAAACTTGAACTTGGGCTCAGAAGGAAACGCACATACACACACTCTCTCTCTCTCCCTCTCTCTCTCTCTCTCTCGCTCTTTCTCTCTCTCTCTCTCTCTGGCACACCCCCACAAAAGCCACGAACCCACTGGAAAAAACCCCGATTGAAGTGGTTCGAAGGCAGCACTGAGCGAGTGAAGGAGCAGCCGTTTCGGGTTTAGGGTCGTGCTCAGCGACTTAGCGGCCTACCACAACCGCATTCGTCCACCTTTCGAGCTCCTGGGGCACAAGCGGACCTGGCTTTTATAGTACCGAGCAAGTGCCCTTGTGCTCAAAACAATCGCTTTGCCTCTTGATTTTGAACCGCTGGCATGGGCAGCTGAGAGCACTTGCTCCTTGCAACCTACTCCTAGCTACTGCGGCATGTGCCGCAAGTGCGCCATAGCGTGCGATTCCGCAGCCGTAAACCCCAAAGTCTGGAGCATCAGACCTCAAAGAGGTCTTCATCCATGAAGTCATCCAACTCCTGGCCGTTCACCCGGCTGCTGCAAACCTGAAGGCCCGTGCGATTGCATTACTTGACACGTACCCGCAAACGCCACCTCAACCCCGAAGCCATAAGGCCCATAGCCCTGAAATGCTGAACCCCCAAACCTCNNCTAAACCCTCAACCTCGAAACCCTAAAGCCACAGCATCACCGAATCGTTTCCAGGTCGGGTCGCCACTCCCGGTTTCACGCGTGGCGCGGTGTCTGCATCCGCCTCCACATGCACCTGGCGGAAGCCAAGCTCACGAGAAATAGTCATGTGCTTCAGGACTTTTGGGGTTCATATATAGAATCCTATAAAGTAATCCCAAAAAGGAACTACTATGGGTTATTGGGGCTTAGGGGTTTAGGGGTCTAGGGCTTAAGGGATTTGGGCTGAGGGGTTAGGGGTTTAGAGCGTGTAGGGTCCAGGGCCCAGGGAATCCGAATTCTTGCACTAATGGTTTAGGGTTTAGGGTTTAGGGTTTAGGGTTTAGGGTTTAGGGGTTTAGGGTAATGACTAAGCCCAAGACCCAAAGCTCCGAAAACACCCCAATAAGTCTCTAGATAGGGGTCCTACATCCTAGCAGGGCCCTAGCAGAAGCCCTTGTTGACACCTAATAAAACACTTGCAGACCTATCATACGGCTGATGATATACATCCTGCATTACCCATAATAAGGAATATACCATAACCCCCATAGTTTAGGGTCCTTAAGGCAATGCAGGATTTATATCATCAACAGTACTCCTTGCAGCGGCCTCTTCAAAGTGGACTCCGACATCCTCGAGCGCGAGCCGGAACTCTTGGATGCCGTCCTCGTCATCTTCATCTTCCTGCAGGTAGATGCCTGAAACAGCTACAGCAGGTACCGAGCCTGGGTTGTAAGTTTCAGGGGTTTAGGATTGCGAAGTCTAGGGGTTTGCTGGCGCCTTTCGCACCACAGCTTGCCTCTGACTGTACCCTAATCCCATATATCCTAAACCCTAAATGCCCCAAACCCAATTAATTCCCAACCCCGAAACCCTAAACCCTAAACCCTCATTGCATCCTTTGCCTGCGTCTGCCAGCCTTTCAGCCAGAGGCTCCTGAAAGCCCACGCCGTGCACCAAGGCCTTAAGCAGCTGTCACTTGTGTTTACGCCGCTAGTAGGGGTACTACAAGGTACATCATAAGGGTTATTGTGAGCTTGTTAAATGACTATTATTGCGATGATTATTTGCATTGTTCTTATATTATTATTAGTATTACTACCACTATTATTACTTTTTTAATGCATGTTCGGTGCTGCATTTCAGAAATGTCTGGCCCTTGCCGCACATCGTGACAGATCGGCCGTGACCCTTGGGGAAGTTTGCACTCTCCCGAACGAGAGAGTTAGGTTTGGTCCCGCTATGTGAGTTTGCAAATCATGTAGCCGCATACGAAGTATGAGAACACAGAGTGGATGCCAGCACAAGCTAAACACTCACAAGGGCTTCGGAGTTCACAGCTCTCGCCAACCGCTGGTGTTGACTACCCGCCAACCGCCAACCCTTTTCAGGCATCAGATGCATCAGAACCCGGATAGATCCCCTATAGAGACTTCTACAACCCTGGTAACCCGACACCCTGGCCTCCAACTTGTTGACGGTTGTATCCTCCAGTTGCAAAGCAGTTGGTTAGACGTGGGTGAGGATGCAATTCGGGACGGGCTTGCCAGAACAACAGTACCACTCCCGAAATCATGCAGCCCGCTGTTCAAAGCAAACGTGACCACAGGACTGCCTCAGTCTGCTCTCCCAGCACTACCCCCAGCCAACTGTCGCCTCAGTGAGATCAGACACACACACACACATGATCAAGAGTCTAGC